ACTTTACCGATACACTCAACTTCAACAATCGAGCTAAACAAACGCTGTAACGTCTCTCGTGCTCTCTGACTGCAGTTCAATTACTCAATGTCTACTCAGACATTACATTCCCCTCTTTTATATACCAGCCTACCCTATATCTAGTAAGAACTAAAACATTCGCCAAAGTACATGATAGTTCTAGAAACGTTGCGTCACAGTAGTCATGGGACTCGATGACGCAACAATATATATATATATACAGTATGGAACAAATAGGTCACATGACCGGATATTGTTGCACGATTTAGAAGAGATATCTTAGTACCCCAGAGTATTGGTTTAGAGTAGGGTTGTTTTGTTCAGTTAAGATGGATTTCTTAATTTTTCGTTTGTTTATGTTTGGTTATTTGGGTAAAAGTACTGTGTTTTTAATAGATACACTATGTTTTTTTGAGTTTCAATGGTGGAAAACATGGGACGTTTTTTATTGTGTTCTCTGAATCTGGTTTCCAATTTTCTTCCTGTTTCTCGGTTGTAGAATTCTGGGCAGTTATTGCGTGTTATTTTGTAAATGACGTAGGTATTGTGTGTTTCTAAGTCATTTTTGCATGTAAAGGATAAGTAGTCTATTATATTTTTATTGTATTGTCTGAATAAATCCTCATGCAGAAATTAAAGGCCCTCTTGAATTCATTGTAAACACTACAACCAGACAATAAGTATTTGGAGACGTGTTTCGTGCGATGATAGTAATCGATAGTGTGAAATGCACTTTCTGCATAGTGTAAGCTAAGATCTTCTATTACTAGCTTTTACCAGGAGATTGAGTTCAATTCAGACGAAAGCCGTGTTCTCTCGAGGTATTTCATTAATTTTATCTAGAGGTAGTAGGATTGTGTTACTAATAAAACATTTTAGCTGAATCGACGTGAATCGTTTAACTTGTATTCATATTACAGAAATTGTTTAAGGAACTAGTAAATAGGCGACTTGAAAATTGGCAAGTAATTTCTAACTTTAAATGAGCTAGTATATATTTTTCAATCATGTAGATGAGACGTGTATAATATTTTATTATCTGCTCTAAATAGCAAAGAAGGAGCTATTTATTGAAAATAATCGTGATCTAACGAAATTAGAATGTAAAATGTTTGTAATGTGTAAAGAATAGTAATAAATAGCAATGAAAACAGCTAAATGTATAATCTTATTCAAGGCTCGATCCTCGCTCTGTAAAAAGTCTTCCTATTTTATGCACACATGCTTCGCATTACAAGTAACAAGCCATGCACGTTGTTTAGAAGCATTGCATTTTTTATTTGAAGTTTTATGGGTTATGGAAAGTGCTAACTTATAGTTAATTATGTATCTTAAATGTTTAACCACAGTTGTCGCCCCTTTGAGTGTTTTATCTTTAGTGACTACATTCCTTCAAATATGAAGAGCGAACGTATCTATTTATATACCGGCGGTCTAAAGGTCTACAACCATTATAATTAGTGATGTATTATTAACACCTTTTTACAATATACAACGTCTATTAAATGGTTATTTCTTTCATTCCACTTTTAAACACGTGATTCAATATTATATCTTTGTAATACACAAAGGAACGGGTTTGAAAACGTATTAAAACCTTTGAAAATGTTTAGCTTCGAAGGTGTACAAGAAGGCACAGGAGTGGAAATTTATATGTAGGTATTTTTTTGTTGTTGTTGTTGTTAGGCACAAAGCTAAATGATGAGGTATGTGTGTTGTGCCCATGACGAGTGTCGAAACCCAGGTTTTAGCATTATAAGCCTTCAGAACTTCCGCTGTGCCACTGGAGGCTTATATGAAGGGAATGATAAGGTATAGTTGCAATCATCTTTCTACATATATATTTTTTTCATCTGTCTGTCCATCGTTGCACCTCATGCATATAAATTGGTCATGCAGTGATATCATTTTCAATCAGCCACTCACAGTGCAAATAACGTTTAATCTAGTCTTATAATGTCGGAGTTCATCAAGATTAGGCGTTAAACCATCGCATACCTCAAGCAGCTGGATAACATAACGGAATTTTACGCTATTGCATAAGAAGACACACAGATCAAGTCTCCAGCCTTGGAAACTGTCGTCTTCGTTCTCTAGATGAATTATGAAAAGCAAGCACGGAAGATGGGTGTGCTTTGAACATAATAACCTTTCGACGGAGTCTTTTATAATGGAAACCAGCGTATAGCCCGTCGAAAATAACGGGGCCTACCTCTCCCACTTTATAAGTGTATAGGGTGTTGGTATAATAAGCCTCAAGTATACACGTAGTGTGGGATCACATAGCCTAGTGCCAAGTGTATAAAATTTGTCATGAAAGTAAAAATATCGACTCAGTTTTAAACTTAAATCAGTTCTGAATTAAGCTATTTTTTATTATATCACCAGCGTTTTCAATATAAAAAAAACTCTTTAATCAACGGAGACTTTAAATTAAGAAATATACGTATAAAACTCAAAATCTGTTTGTTTGCTTGCTTGTTCGCCGCGTTCACTGCGCAGGTCACACTTCCCTCACGTGAAGGTGCGCAAAATGGCAATTTTTCTTTGATATACTCGACTATCGTCTGCTAACCGAAACGGTAGTTTTATGTTAACATATACATTACACGAATAAATTCTACGCAGACTTGACATTTTTTCGTGAGTTTCAGTTAATATTTAATTTAGAATATAACATTATAGGTCTATTTAATTATAGATCATTGACTATATCATTGATCCACTAATACATCATATTGTTACGTCACCGTTTGTTAATTAACTTCCCGTAACTTCGTTCCGACGAAACTTTAGCGACACAAGTATTTACTTAATAAAACTGGTTTATTCTTTCCGAATATGACTTTACGATACACTTGTTTTCAACAATCGCGCTAATACAAACGCTATATCGACGAACGTTAACTTCAACAATACGTCTCTCTCGACTGCAGTTCAATTACTCATTACCTACACACACACATTATTATCCCGTC